GTTAAAATCTTTATACAAGAAAAAAAAAAAAGAAATATTCGCAATATACATATACGCGATAAAGAAGTGAAAAAAAAAAGAAACTACATTATGTTTATATAGTTATAATGAAAAGCAAAATTAATATTTTGCTTTGTTACTTTTTGTCTACGTTAATTGATTATAAAATAGAATAACAACCAATTTTCGTAAATCTAGTATGCATAATAGAAAAAAACAGTCCAACAAAAAAAATTTTTTTCAAATATTGCTACTTGCTTCATATTCACATCATTATTAATATTATTAATCAGTAATAACCGTTAGGACCACTTCTTTGACCACTACTTAATGGAGGGCCTACATGTGATGGAGGACCAACGGGGCCCACACCATTTGGTTGTATATTATGAGGATGAGCACTACCATATCCACTAGTTGGATCTCTTGGATCTCGTAAAAAGCTTGTTAAAGGTTGCCTTATAATTTCACTATTTGATGGACCAACAAGTTCAGGAGGTTGCGAATTATGATGATGAGAACCTACTGGTGGTAAGCGAGACCCATTCTGCTGCGAAACTAAACCTTGTTGGGAACTATGATAATGATTCATCGCTGGGGACTGCGGCGGTATTAGTGGGGGTGGTACGGGAGAAGATTTGTCATTATATAAATGAGAAGGAGGTCCCTGTGCAGGAAGAGGTTGAGATATATATGAAGATTGACTTGAATGTGGTTGGTGATAATGATGCCCTTGATGTGCATGAGGATGATGAGTGTGATTTTGGTGTGCTTGATGTTCTTGCGGATAATGAACATGGTGTGGAGTAGAAGGATGATGATGATGATGATGATGCAATGGTTGTGAATGAGAAGGTGATGACTGAATTGGAGGTAGAGTCGTCGGTTGTTGGCGAGGTACACTCCCTGACCGAGATAAAGGAGACGGTGGAGTTCTATGCTGAGGATCAGGATGAATATTTGGCATAGACTGATTATGCCTAATAGAATGACTCTGTTGTTGAATATGATTATTAGGTAATAAACTAGGAGAAGTATGATGAGAACCAATCGGTCGATGTGAAGCATGCGGTGGTTGAGATTCTGGAACTGGAGGCCCATGGGGAGGGTAACCACGAACCAAAGAACTTGGTTGTGAATGTTGTGAATACATTGTAGAATCCGAAACACGACGAGATGGCACGCTTGAAGGATTCGCCTGTAATAAATAAATGAATTAAAAAATAAATTAATATTTTTAAAAAATAAATTAATATTTATGCATATACATATATATGTGTGTATATATATGCATATATATATGTGTATATATAAAACATTTTTAATGTAAAGTGACACAATACCTCAGGGTGTATATATCCAGGATTATTCGATTGCAATGGAGGATACCCTGGATGCTCCACACGGGGAGGATGCATACCGGTTCCATTAATTGGATGATGATGATGAACCATTGGTGGATTTACAAGTCCATTTTCACTGTTCATTGGCGGAGAATTATCAGACAATATTGAAGAGCGATTAGGAGGTATCATATTATTGTTTGGAGGTGAAATGTAGTCTTTCCTATCGCTGCCGTTATCTTGAAGCGACTACAAAGAGGTCAATGTAAATCAAACGGATGTGCATAAAAAAAAAAGGATAATACAATTTTAGTAAATTGTGCACATACAAATTTGATAATATCATTTCTCACTAATAAAATTATATAAGGAATTTATGGTAAAGAATTACGGACCGTTGTGTAAATCATATACGAAATATAAGCATGCATAGCATTCCGTTTTTTTTTAATATTATGCTTCTGCTGTTGCAAAAATGAATTTATAGATCACGTAACCACACCTCATTATGAAAGTCCAGTTGTAATTAAGATAACTTGATTCACGTACCATCTCATTATACATTCTACAAAAATTAGCATTATTTGAAGGAATTGAAGTTTGTGGACGCATTTGACCATTTTGTTGAGGTATTGATTGAGTAATAGGTTGATGTGGTGATGATTGTGGTATATCCTATAAATTATAAATTATAAATTATAATTATAATAATGATTATTTATTATAATGATTATGAATTATAATAATTATAAATTATTAAAATTATTAAAATTAAATAAACTAACCGGATTGCCAACCATACCGCCTACACCAACACCAGGAACATAACCATTTGGAGCATTAATTGGAGGTGGAGAAGGTTTTTTCAAAGGCCTTTCATTTTGATGAGGAATTATAAAATGATTCTTAATGTTCATTGATTTATCACCAGGCATTGGTGGTGATCCACAATTCTTTGGTTGAAAACGAACAGAATGATCAGCCGGTGGGCCATTATGCAAAGATCTTGATTGATGAAATTGTTGTGGTGGCATTTGGTGTTCCCAATCTGTCGAATTAGTTGGACCCACTATTTTTTCAAATAATTTAGTTTATAATTGAAAGTTCAAAATGATTAAAATTTATTATAATTACAACGAACCTTGTTGAGGCAAATAAATCGACGGTTTTTGATCTTCGGTTGGATGTTCGCGTAACTCGGAATACTTTTGACCGCTGGATGGATAGGGAATTTGCTCGGGAGAACGATGATGTATTTTTGGCCTTTGAGCTTATCAAGGCACATGAAGAGTCAGGTTGAATTACATTTGAAAGTCAACAAATCGAATCCAATGAAAAAAGCACATACAAGTTTCGTTCGGATCAGATGGTCTTCGTTTTTGCGGGCTTTTTTTCGATGAATAAACTTTTGTATTTATGGGTAAATGCGGTGAACCATTCTAGGAAGTCGAAATCACGTGAGTCTTAGTAAAAATGAAATTCAATAAATTTTTTGAATAAATTGTAATTACCAAAGGACGTTTATTTGACTTCTTGGGAGTACCGTTATTATTTGCATTATAAGAAGTGTACTCAATATTTTGTTGATTTTGAGTCTGATATTGGTGATTAGGATGATGATGAGAAGGTATATCACCATTTCTTGTTTCATCAGGATATGGATCATGAGGATGTTGGTAATATCTTGGCATTGTATCCTGCTAACAAAAACAAAAGTATCAGAAATGTGAATAAAAAAATCAAAGAACAAATACGTGAAATTGAAAAAGTAATTACTGTTGATGTAGGAACGGTTTGCATAGATTGAGCAGGATCCGAAGAAGTCGATTCGTCGCCTGTATCAATTGAGAAGAGATTAAATAAATTTAAGGAATTAAAAGTATAACAAAAAAATCCGAGTATTTAACTAACCTGATATTAACGAAGAGATAGCCATGGAATTTTTTGGTTTAGCTTTTTGCTATAACATTAATGATATCAAAGATTAGAAATTGAAAGATTCAAAAGAAGAAAACGAACAGAATAGACGAGGAATCAACACCCACATTTATTTGAGGATGAATTGATTTTGTATCATCAGAGGAATGCGATAAAGAAGAAATAGCAGTAGCGGCCAATTCGACATCAGATATCTGTTGACCATTTTCTTTAGAAGAGTAATGATCTCTCGACAGACCGTAATGAGGAGGAAGTTGTGATAAAAGAATTAAAGATTTACTAGCTTCGTCTGCATCGGCAGAAACATCATTATTTATAAATGATGGACGATTGTTTTGTTCAAGCGAAGGGAGAGGTTGATTGTGAACAGGTTGAGGTTGCTGCTGCTGGACATGGGAATAATAATTTCTTTCTTGTTCGCTCGAGTAAGCACCATAAACACCGTTACTTAAACCACTATTATTGTTGGCACTGGGGTGGTATTGTTGTTGTTGAAGAGACGCGTGTTGTTGGGCAGGGCCGTCATCAGAAAGTAAATTTCTCAGACTATGACCAGAATTTGAAGAGAGGTGATGGTCCGAGGAAGAAGTAGCAGCAGAACTATCGTTCATTAACTGAGATATCGAAGTTTTACGTGAGTTCATTTTTCTTTTAATATTGTGCGTGTACAAGCACAGAGAAATTTAATATAGATAGTTGAATAAAAAAAAAATGTTTTTACACATATATATATATATATATATATATATAATATATTACTCGTTAAGTATACTGTTTTTTTTTTTAAGAGGTTAAAGAAATTTCAGAGGAAAAGTTTTTAGCATTTCAAAGACGAGAGGAATAAAAAAGTTTTCACAAGTTGAAAATATCAAGTTGAAAATTTGGAGAAAGAACAACGCAAAACCACAAGATTTTTGAATTTACAGTAAAACTAGATGTCAACTTATAAAAAAAGGTCTAACATTCTCACATAAAAAAAAAAAAGGTTTATTTAAGTCCCGTATAAATTTAAATTTAAATTGAAATAAGATAAATTCATATTATAAAAAATTCACAATTCTAAATATATAAAATATTTATTTATTAGTCTAAAGTATCAAGATTAAAAAATATGAAAATGGCGTGGTATTAATCGTAAAAGTAGTCTGCAGTGTCACTGCATATATGGGCTATCTTTTGGAAACACAAGCAAAAAAAATAATCAGCAGTATAAAAGACTATGTGAACCCAGTTTAACACTTTTACTTTAAAACCACTTATGCTAATCATAGTATGTATATGTATGTATGTATGTACGTATTTTATTATTATAATTATTATCTGCTGTACTGTATATAATTTACTATAATTTACTTAATTTACTGTATCAACTGTACCATTTATACTTTTAACTTCTAACGTACACCGAATTTTAATAGTTTATGTTTATTCACTTTACATATTTACATACTGTAAATAAATAAATAAAAAATACTTTAATAAAGTAAACAATTTAAGTAATTATCTTATGTGAAAGATATTATATTAAGTATATTATATTGAGTATTACGTACTGAGTATATTATATATTATTATTATTGTATATTATTGTATATTATTATTACTTATTATTACTTATTATTATATGTTATATGTTATTGTATTGAGAGAATTGGTATAAAAAAAAATCGGTTCCATAAATCCATAAACCGAAGTAGCTTCATCCTCAATAGAAATGAATAGAAATGAATAGAAATGATAAAGATATTATTGCTATATTACTGTATTAATAGCAATTTAACAAAGAATAACTATATTAATAACGACAATAACGATAATAACTATATTAATATTGCAATTAAATATTGTAATATCAATAAAGTCTGGAACTGGAACGGCCATTCTTAGAAATTCACTCAGAGCAAATATCGAAAAATATCGAAATATTGAAAATTATCGTAAATGAATTCAAAAATATAAAAATAATGTTAAGCTTAACTACGTAATAACAACGCAGAAGTTGAGGCGAATTTTCAAAAAAAAAAGTAATGCAAAAGATTTTTATGCAGAAATTTCATACCGCACTTGAAGGCCCCGCATGAGCCGCACAAAGGAAAAAAAATTAACAGCATGCGCTTTACTACATTTCACAATCTACATTAACGCACATTACATTATCAATCAATCATTTTTGAATGCGGAAATTACAGCAACGGGTTGCCGATTGCGGTTTAGACTCTATAATGGTTTAAGTCATGGATGTGCGTACGATAATTACAGAATTATAGTTTAGACTCCACCGATAATGCGCGTAATTACCTTCATAATACTCCTATAGTTAACAAGCTTTAGGTAGCCTCCGAATGCTCTCTTTAGATAGCATTCTAAATAGCATTTTAAATAGCATTTTAAACAGCATTTTAAATAGCATTTTAAACAGCATTTTAAACAACGTTTTAAACAGCATTTAAATAGCATTTTAAAAATAACCTCCATCCTAAATGCGCTTGTCTCGATCGTTTCTTGATTGTGTCGTAATTTTGAAATAATTTCTGGTTTTAGACCGTTTGTCGTTCTATAAAACAATACTGCAAATTTGTGTAAATATTTAGTGTAATAAATAATAAACTCTCTTTCTCCTGCACAAAACTGTGACAAAAAAAAAAAAAAAAAAAAAAAAAAAAAAAAAAAAAACAAAGCAGGTTTACGGAGGGCGTCAAACTAGAATTGGATCTTTTTTTTTTTTTTTATCAAGATTACTTACTATTCATTTCTATAAATTACAAACATAAGATGTATAAGATGTACATGCCACACATTCTCACCGTGCATACATTACCGTATTTACTCACCGTATATACTCCTGTATACACATTGCATATACTTATTGTATACACTCATTGCATATACTTACTGTATACACACTGCATATACACACTGTATACTGCATATACTGCATATACTTACTATATACACACACTGCATATACTCACTGTATACGTACATTCTCCGTACCCGCACACCAAATACACTCTCCGTACACACACTAACTGTACACATATAAACCAAAGACCGTGAAGATTTAAAAATAATGTGATATCACGAGTGTTACAAAGCAAAAAATAGTTAAAGAACGACAGAGTGAAAAACAGAAAAACAGTCATATTTCCCGATAAAGGAATTTGGCCCACTTGCCCCGCATATTTGTTAAAAAGATGCACCGTACTACTTTGGACCTTATTTACTGCGCCCTGTTATTTCCTTTTTCTGTTCCACAAGGTTACAACGTGCAACCCATTCTTCGTTCCAACTTTTTACATCAATGTGAGCAACGACAATGTCACCCCCTTGAGGAAATTCATTATTATCACGCGGTTATTTTCAGTTTTGATTTTTTGGTTTGTCCAACCGTTGATCCTTTTTTTCTTGATTTCCCCCCTCTCCCCCTCAAACACTTTTTCCCTGCTTGTATTAGCGTTCGTGTGTTACCGCCATTTTTATTTATATATCTGTATATCGCTGATAAATGAATTTAAATTATGTACGTACCATGGATGTGAACTCTATTAAAAATAGGAAATAATTAATATGCGATGGTCACATGTATAACTATAATTTGATCTTCCATAATATGCCATATATCATAATATATACATACAATATACAATACTTCAACCGTTCATCAATATAAATAATCAACAAATATGATAGTATTCGGAAAAATCATAAATCTTGCTGCGCCCCGTGCACAAACATTCTACTTTTACTTTTCTACTTTCGTTCGATTATGTTCTCATTTCCTTTTACTATTTATATGTCTCTGAATTTTTTTTTTCTTTCATTATCAATGCTTTGTATTCAACTCCTAAAATTGTTCTGACGTTTGGTTTTACCTGTCATTTTTATTTCCTTCTTAATTTATATACAATTAACTAATTTTTTTATCTCAATGCAACACTGCCGATACTGCAATTCTGCAATAATTTTGTTTTATATCAGGAAATGATCTGACATCATCGACATGTTCTGCTTTTGTCAATTTCTTCCCGTAAATTAGACTTGTACCTCCTTAATCGCCTGAATCGTTTTGATTCAGTGTTTATATTAAGAATTTTTCTGTTGATCGGTTCTATTTAAGGGTGATCAATTAAAGATTCTCCAAACCTTTCATTTCTAAAATCCTCACGCATCTTCCCTTTATCTTTTCTGTTAAAGTAAGTAATCA